TCAGAGTTGATGTTCGCTCTGGGACTCGAACGCCATCGCATTATCCGCTTAGCTACTGAGTCTTGATAGCCACCTGCTTATGTAATGGGGTGACGTTTGACTTCACTTAGTGTTGTCTTACTTGTATCTTCCCATTGATGTTTAGGACTGCAATTGATCAGTCTCATGTTGGCATATGTGCATCTTATGCGGATTACCTAGATGTAGCCTTAAGTCACAAGCTTTTTAAGCGAAAATGGATACTGGCTAGGAGTGGAAACGCGTGTCCTGGATTCCACTGCTAGCCACCATCCATCCTTGTTTATAATGCTTATGGCTTGAAGCAATATCGAGATAACCAACACAGAATGCATATATGCCAATAACAGACTGATCAATTGAAGTCCTCTAAATAACAATGGGAAGATACAAGTAATACACCATTAAGTGAATATTTCTCCAATTGTTATTTATCATTCTATAAACAATAATTTATTGTTTAGGCAAATTAGAAAATAGATCACCATTTTATTTTATATTTTTAATAATTTGAATTATTGACAAAGAACCTAATAGATAAATATCTCGGGTTTTGAATAACAATCCTTTCAAATAGGTTTTACAATAAACAAAATTATAAAGGCGTAGATTCATGCATGGTATTTTATTAAACAAACTAATCAGTCATTTTATTAATGGTCACATGTTTCGAATGAATTCTTTTTATGATTTTGGAGATTTCATAAACAAATTTCCGAAAAAACAAAACAAAACAACAACTCACAAATCTAGTTACTAACCTAATCTGTTGTTAAACCTAAACTTAATAATGCGGAGATTTTATTGGGATAAACGTTTGGTTTGTTTATTTGTTTGTTTTGAGTGTAAAATATTTACTGCTAAACAAATATTTTACTAATCAATTGAATTATTTTGGCATAGATGGATATTTGAAGGTTATTGGTATTAAAGTTTAGGTTACGCAACTAGTGAGAATGAAGAAGGTCTGATAGATGTCTAATCTCATAATGTACTCGTACACCAGCTCGTTTAGGATTGCTGGCATTTCGAATTCGAACAAGACTAGTGGACCAGTAAACGGAATCAATCAGAAGCTGTAATTAAAAATAGACGAACCCGACTGCATATAAATTATTAATTGACCAACGATATTTTTGGAGTATTCGAAGAAAAGATATTTTATTAAAATATATTCAAGTATCACATAGAGAACGTATAAATTGTATTATAATTATTCAACCTGTTTCATTTCATTCAAGCTACAAAGTAAAAGACTTACATATATAAAACAGATCGGTCCTCTAGAATAAATTAGTTAATGAGATAGGAACACGGATATTAGAATTATATGATATATAAATAAGCAAAACATTTCGAATAATCTGATCATGTATATAATTTATGAGAAATAATATCAGAAACAAAAGTCAACAACAACAAAAAAAAACGAGAAGGTAACAGGAGACAAAGATACAAAACAGTACAAACGTGTAAAACAATGTTTGCCTGATATTTTGTTTTTAAATAAATAAAGCGTTTACTAAGTGGCTGAAACAATTGACATTACAAATGTCGACAATGGTAATAAATAAAGCAACTATTAAGGAAGTCTACAACTGTATAATTGACCATACCACAAGATCGGTTGAAAAATCTTCAGTCGGTTAAAAATTAAGTCAAGTCGGAAATGAACATAGTTCCAAAAGAATTGGAGCCTTCTATTGGCGTCTTCATAAAAATTAGTTTCAATAACACATGATAAAAACTATATCGGCTTTATATGAGCACAATGTAATTCCAAAAACTCACGCAAAATACAACCGAAAATGGATTTCATAAATAATTCTACATATACTCTGCCAACATATCTTGGTGGTATACTAGAGATACCTCAATATAACCTTAATAATGTCGTGAAGTAATCATACGAATATAAATCAAAGATCTCGGAATTATCTATTAACAAAAATGGAACAATAGTAAGTTATAATGCTGTATGTGTATACACTAATATTCCAATTGATCGATCTGTAATTGGTTTAATAGAGATTGAGTATAATTTATCTAGTAGATGTCCACCGAGTACTAATTTATTCGTGAAGTGCATCAAACTGCACATCAGTTCAACACTTTCAATCTTCAAACAGACTTGATATAAATTAACAAATTGAGTATCCATCAGATATGTGCGGTCTCCGATTACTGTTAGTTTATTGGTCTCATATTGACTCGCTTAATTTAGCCAGTACCATCACACAAACCGTCTGTATGACCATCCACCTATATGAATGCAACAATATAAGCATCTTATATTCCACTGCTATCCACGGTACAAATACACTCAAACATATAAAACCGAATATTCATCCACTCAGAACATACATGACCCGACAAGGACTGGTCAAAACTTCAGACATGAATCTCAATAACATGATAATACATGCACTTACAGGTAAACCTAACAACTCGTTTCCAATGATGCATTGCAGCTGAAATACAGCCATATTTGTCATATCCATATGATAGACATTCATGGTTAACATATACTAATGACAGACTGAATTCACGTATGACGATTTAATCACAAGTAACCTCGAATTCATTAGCCATCCATTCAGTGGCCCGTCTGTTATTAGCTAACGAAATAATAAGCAACAATAGACTGCAGACATCATTATCAACATCACTATCTACAGAGATGAACAAAAGTTATTTATTCGACACGATCGAATATTGGTGAAGCATGGGAAATGTGATGAGATCTCGGGAACTCCGAAACGGAATAGAATTTACTGTTCTACGTTTGCTGCATTACTGTCAATATCGTCTCACGATTCCCTTAAGAACACTAATTCGAAATTTAAATTTTGCAACACCTGATATCAGTCAAACAATCCATCGAATGTTGTGATCAATGGACTGAATTTCATTTGGATTTACAAGGTTTTAATAAGACATGGTGAGTAGTAACGATGAAGCATCAACATATTGTACCGTGACACTGTCACATTTGAAAATGTACATCTAATCACTGAAAGATTCTTGGTTCGATTGAATTCAGAGTCGTTGGGAAGCCCTATTGATGAGTCTCAGACTACGATGAGACAACTGTTTGACGTTTTTCCTTGCTTTCAAATTACATGTGACTGATACTGATAATTGAGAATCTCTAAACATACTCGAAATCATCACTTGTTGTTTGGGTCTCACTGATTGGTTGTAGAACAAAATGTTCTTGATAAAATGGAAAATTAAGAAACACTTCATGATTAGAGTCGTGTCACCTGCAAGTGACCTTCATGACCATACAGGAAACACTGTACGTGCAATCATCTCGTTGATGAAAATCCATTTAACTCACATAACATAATCATGGTAAAATGAAGATCTTGCACATTTCGTTACGTTAAATACATGCAACCGATGTACATTTCGAACAATCTATTGTTTATATATTGTAAATTAAAAGTCGAACAGTGGATGGAATAATATACTTTATTGTCGAATTCTACGGTTATAAATACGAAGAGAGTTTCACAATGTTAAAAATGAATTTATGAATATTGAAATGACTTAAATATGTGTTAAATATGAAGATGACACATAGAACGTAGTTGTATATAATACTTTTGGCACAGTAACTGTCTAAATAAATTCATATACTTGTAATATCCCAATGAGTTTAAAAATTAAATTTTATGACATTTCGTGACTCAGTGTAAGGCACTTCTTCAGGGAATAAAGACCAAATCAATATTAATTCAAGTTTAAATAGTACACAAGGCTATTATGTGCTAACAATCAAAAGTAGGTCTGGACAAATCATTGTCATTTCATTTCAGTCAAGGTGATTCATAAGAGACATGTATGTAAATTTGTGTGTGTGTGCATGGTTAAGAATGAAAAATGTGTGACCTTTATGGTGAGAAAGGATAGAGTTTAATTTGTATGATTATAATGTGAATTTTGACTAATATCATACTAGGTGTCTGGGATAGATGGTCCAAGTAGGATGTATCGTAAGGCTTTCTTTTCAATTGAGAGCAGTAGGATTAAAGTTATATGAAACACTTCAGCTACTCTCCTGTCTTTGTAATTGGAAAGTCCTTTTTGTAAAGTTTTGATGTTTTTAAAATAGATTTGGTGGTTTTTGAAAATGGCGTGAACCTTGGTGATGATACCTGTTAACATATCTCGTTTAACTGTTCACCCAACAATTACTTCGCACTTATTATAGTTGTCAGATAATTTAATGAATCTATCAAAGAAATATTCATTTTCAGAAGGGTTTTTGTGTATATTATAGTGATCTCAACGAGTAAAATTACTATAATATCCACAAAAACCTTTCTAATATTGATCAACATATGCCCATTAGTGACTGGCTTCAAGAAGTATTTCCTAGAGTTCTAGTGAGAAGCAGTGACCAATGGAGTTCAACCGGGTCAGTTGTGAGATAGTAACCCATTGAAGACAGTGGTGGGTTTGTTGCTCAATTTCGTGGATTGGTTGAAGTTAGACATTAACACCATTGGATGTCATCCGGCTCAGTGGTCTAGTGGTTAAGCGCTCGCGGGGTCGAATCTCGCGAGACGGGATCGTGGATTCTCACTACTGAGGGGTCTCATAATGGGACGAAAAGGCCGTCCAGTGCTTCCAGGTTTTCTATGGTGGTTTAACTTCAAATGACTCATGATCTCAACCATTAAAATATTTATTTACTGGCAGTAAACTTATTAGGAATGTTAATTGACGTAGTAGTATTAGTATTTTTGATAAATTATTTCAACTGTTCTATTTTTCACCAATTTTTGTTATTTATTAGTGAAATTTATTATAATCCATTTGGTAATTTAAAACACGTTATCATGCAATCTTTTTTTGTTTTAGGCAGCTCTTTTATGGGATTGGTCTTTTTGAATCGTATATATACTCTGGAAAACTGAGACATTTTCATTTTATAAATTTCCATATACAGTAAACGAAACAACTTTCCATATATGTTCCCGTACGATAAACTTGATGAATACTTTTTCTATGATACACCTACGGATTTACTCGCCACATGTGGGCAACTAAATGTGAATTCCAGTCAAGTCTATAAAGTACAATGTATTGTTACGAAAGTTCTTGGGATATGGTCAGCATATTTATTACCAATCATATGTGGACTTGGTTTAATTACACACAGTCTTGTTATAACAATTATATTTAAATGTTTAAAATGTACACCGCGCCAGTTAATCTATACTGGTTGTTTAAGTTGTTCCAATATATTGACAAATATTTTGTTTGCTTGGTTATGGTTATTTCCCGCAAAAGGTTTACCATACATAACCAACGGACAAATTTATTACTTCATATTTAATACATCAAGAATTGCTTGTCGCCTATGTCGTTTCACTTATTCACTGAGTACAACATTAACTAGTAATTTAATATTATGTTCAGCGATCGATCGTTGTTTGAGTATATATTTCCCAGTGAAATTATTACATTTATCGAATCGTCATGTATGGTATATATGCTTAATTGTTTTAATCATCAGTAGCATTATGATGTCACCATTTTTAATTGTAATTGATTGGATACAAGTTGGACAATTTCATATTTGTTGGATAGAGGAATCGTTATTTCATTTACAAATTTATCATACATTATTCGCTAATTTAGGCTTAGTACAAAGCATTTTAATTGTTATAGTAAATATTGCTTTTATCACACGTCTTATCATACAAACTAAACGAACACGTCATACTATGGCACATAACAAGAAAGAATTAAAACATATCTCCATTTCTATTATTCTCTTAGCATTTTCAATGTCATATGTATTGACTGCACTACCTCAAACTACAGTTTATTTATTAGCGTTTCTATGGTCGTATACAAATGAGGTGATTGATGAACTATATGAAGTATGGATAAGACTTATGTATAATTTAGCAGATATTGGTTGGAATCTTCATTTTACACGAGAATTAATTGATTTAATCATGTATTTTATATATTTGAAACCATTACGTCGAATATTATTGTATAAGATTAAAAAATTCATCAATATAGCTCATTCATCGAATCCGAACACGTCAGATCATGCATCATTAAAATAATATACATAAAGGGAAATCACTGATTAAAAAAGAACAATGTATAATGCGTTGGTAAAAGTTAGACGGTTTTAATTCAAACAATTATTCTTATTTTTACTATTATTTCAATGATCTTTTCCTCAACTATCTTCTTTTTATTGGATTATTGATGATAAGGTGCATTTCACTTTGGAAAAATGTCTTTTTTATTTGGTTTTCACTTACATTAGTTAAGAAGAATAAAAGAATAAAATGACAAAGACAACAATAACTATGTTGCATATAACCAACTTATCCAATGATAAGCAAATGAAAATTAAATTTACAAAAGAAAAGTAACCGTTTCATTTTACGTCTGTTTAGTTTATTACTAGTACATTTAGAAACTCATGATTACTTCATACATCACATAAATTATGTCATATTCATTTAGAACTCAGACGTCTTTTTTGACACTATAAAATAAATACAATCAACACCTTATCGTTCTCTCGAATTTCTGTGGCTAACAAATAATAGTGCGGGCGAAGCTTCAGCAAAAGAACTGGTATTCGAATCTCATATAATCTATTATGACATATTGGTGAAATTTGAATAGCATCGAAATAAATCACGTCGTGGAGAACAGACACTTGGAGCAACGGTATATAAAGATCATATATTCAAAGAGTGATTCACAAGAACTTACTCCGTTCTAACTACTTCGGATAAGAAAATGAAGAACTACAGAAACATGACACAAAAAAGGTGAGAATTTAAGACAGTTGTATTCAATCCGTACAGATAGAATTGAGAGGAGAATACAAGTAGACAGTTACTGTGACAAAAGTATTATATACAACTACGTTCTATGTGTCATCTTCATATTTAACACATATTTAAGTCATTTCAATATTCATAAATTCATTTTTAACATTGTGAAACTCTCTTCGTATTTATAACCGTAGAATTCGACAATAAAGTATATTATTCCATCCACTGTTCGACTTTTAATTTACAATATATAAACAATAGATTGTTCGAAATGTACATCGGTTGCATGTATTTAACGTAACGAAATGTGCAAGATCTTCATTTTACCATGATTATGTTATGTGAGTTAAATGGATTTTCATCAACGAGATGATTGCACGTACAGTGTTTCCTGTATGGTCATGAAGGTCACTTGCAGGTGACACGACTCTAATCATGAAGTGTTTCTTAATTTTCCATTTTATCAAGAACATTTTTTTCTACAACCAATCAGTGAGACCCAAACAACAAGTGATGATTTCGAGTATGTTTAGAGATTCTCAATTATCAGTATCAGTCACATGTAATTTGAAAGCAAGGAAAAACGTCAAACAGTTGTCTCATCGTAGTCTGAGACTCATCAATAGGGCTTCCCAACGACTCTGAATTCAATCGAACCAAGAATCTTTCAGTGATTAGATGTACATTTTCAAATGTGACAATGTCACGGTACAATATGTTGATGCTTCATCGTTACCACTCACCATGTCTTATTAAAACCTTGTAAATCCAAATGAAATTCAGTCCATTGATCACAACATTCGATGGATTGTTTGACTGATATCAGGTGTTGCAAAATTTAAATTTCGAATTAGTGTTCTTAAGGGAATCGTGAGACGATATTGACAGTAATGCAGCAAACGTAGAACAGTAAATTCTATTCCGTTTCGGAGTTCCCGAGATCTCATCACATTTCCCATGCTTCACCAATATTCGATCGTGTCGAATAAATAACTTTTGTTCATCTCTGTAGATAGTGATGTTGATAATGATGTCTGCAGTCTATTGTTGCTTATTATTTCGTTAGCTAATAACAGACGGGCCACTGAATGGATGGCTAATGAATTCGAGGTTACTTGTGATTAAATCGTCATACGTGAATTCAGTCTGTCATTAGTATATGTTAACCATGAATGTCTATCATATGGATATGACAAATATGGCTGTATTTCAGCTGCAATGCATCATTGGAAACGAGTTGTTAGGTTTACCTGTAAGTGCATGTATTATCATGTTATTGAGATTCATGTCTGAAGTTTTGACCAGTCCTTGTCGGGTCATGTATGTTCTGAGTGGATGAATATTCGGTTTTATATGTTTGAGTGTATTTGTACCGTGGATAGCAGTGGAATATAAGATGCTTATATTGTTGCATTCATATAGGTGGATGGTCATACAGACGGTTTGTGTGATGGTACTGGCTAAATTAAGCGAGTCAATATGAGACCAATAAACTAACAGTAATCGGAGACCGCACATATCTGATGGATACTCAATTTGTTAATTTATATCAAGTCTGTTTGAAGATTGAAAGTGTTGAACTGATGTGCAGTTTGATGCACTTCACGAATAAATTAGTACTCGGTGGACATCTACTAGATAAATTATACTCAATCTCTATTAAACCAATTACAGATCGATCAATTGGAATATTAGTGTATACACATACAGCATTATAACTTACTATTGTTCCATTTTTGTTAATAGATAATTCCGAGATCTTTGATTTATATTCGTATGATTACTTCACGACATTATTAAGGTTATATTGAGGTATCTCTAGTATACCACCAAGATATGTTGGCAGAGTATATGTAGAATTATTTATGAAATCCATTTTCGGTTGTATTTTGCGTGAGTTTTTGGAATTACATTGTGCTCATATAAAGCCGATATAGTTTTTATCATGTGTTATTGAAACTAATTTTTATGAAGACGCCAATAGAAGGCTCCAATTCTTTTGGAACTATGTTCATTTCCGACTTGACTTAATTTTTAACCGACTGAAGATTTTTCAACCGATCTTGTGGTATGGTCAATTATACAGTTGTAGACTTCCTTAATAATTGCTTTATTTATTACCATTGTCGACATTTGTAATGTCAATTGTTTCAGCCACTTAGTAAACGCTTCAGTTTTTCTTAAGAAACCGTCGTATGGTTTTGTTTATTGTTTACTTAATAGTAAAAATGACAAAACATGTTAATTCACTATATTTGAGCGACAGTGTATTCTGACATAATTCTGTGTCATAACTCCTTAATAAATTGCTGATGAACGATTTCTGGAATCTCACAAACAAAACTATGATTCCTGTTAGAAAAAATCATATGTTTGTTTGAGAAATTGATATGGACTTAGTTGCTTAGACAAGACAGTAATGCTTACGCTGTAACTGGCAACATATAGCGTATTAATCATATTACCTACCGGCCGTGGTGGACGGTTATTTTTTCGGTTCTGTATTAGGGTTGGTCCAGTCTTATCTGTTTAGGCCGATAGACTTTTATGGAAATGAGTTCCACTTCGAAGAAGTCACAAACCTACCGCGTGGATGTGATTTTGTGCGGAAATCATCACCCTCATATCTTGGAGCGCAGGCGTCGCACCAGGCGCAAGTATAGTTTTCATCCATGAGTCACTTAGTATACACATAGGTATATACACCCACCTGTGAAGGCAGATCCTGACCGTTCTATTCGAATGTATTTGCCACATCTGACTGTCACGTATTATCTGCACATCACTGGTACAAATAATTTCGTCCCTGTACTTCATGACATATACATAAGCATAAGGCCTATTACATAGAGGTTTGATGGCCACCTCTCCGCAGTACTTACTATCATATGTTTCTACTATTTCTTCCACCTGAGGGATTAGTTGGTTTATCTTATGAGAAATAAGACAGACAGTTTTCAGTTAACGTTTCTCGAGTCGACCCACGTGTGTGTCCTTTGTATGTACCTATATACATTATTCACACAAACGGAAACTCATGCAATTCATATGCATAAGCAAACAAATGGGGAAGCCCACGAGATTGTTAGCCCCAAGAGTGGAACCCCGTGACTCCGGTTTACAGCAGAGCGGTGGATTAGTCCGATCTCTGCCGACCTCCCAAGTTATCTAGCAAGGTACGCTCTACTATCCAGCATGGGGAGGCGAACGGTAAATGATTTTATTCTTATTTTATTCCAGAAGGAATACATATTGTTTACGAAACTGCCCGTGGGTTTCATATTTCTTGTACAAAACGTCTAACAATTTATGGTTGAAATGTTTTAATGGGCAATTATCAGGCAATTATATATATGTATGGAAAGTGTGCGAGTCAATACGCACAAATTGAAAAGGAATGTTACCATAAACACGGTTTTCTTATATATGTATATATAAAGGCAGAATACAATAAAGCGCTACACACAAAGTGTACTCATAAACACAGTTGCAAAACAACATCGAATGGGCAGAAGAACATTAATTTGTTGTTACTGTAATAAGTAGTATTAGAATAGAGTATTTTCAAAATAAACAATGCATAATAGTAAATAAGAGTAGAGTAACGAAACAGAAAAGAGTAGAAAAGCAATGGAACACTGACCAAAACAAAAGAGTTTAGTAAGTGACAACTAAAAGCAAGGAGTAAAAATAACAATCATACCAATTACACACTTGGAAGTGAAACTGAACGTGAAAGACGTACCAGATAGAATGCATATTTGTTAGGAAAACACCCGTGGGTTTCATACTTCTCTTAAAAAAGTGTCCAACAAGTATCTATATTACATAATATATGCAACAGTACAAATGTTTTTTGTAAAGATATGAACACAAAGAAGGAAGCGCCAGGAAAGTTAGAAACTTTAAAACAAAATCTCATGTAAATGACTAAGTGCTTGCACACACATAGTGACACAGAACCAAATTATGTAAATAAAGAGAATCTGAGAGGACAAAGTAGTCGAAAGCATAAATATTACCTGGCTACAAAGAAAACGTAAGCAAGGCATAGAATGTAGTTAGTTCGAAATTCACTATTCTGTATTTGTAGTATAATTCAGATCTATGTAGGATTTTATTATGTTTGATAATACAATTGAATGTCGTCTAATCGATAACTGGAAACCTTTTGACACTGGTGGTAGTGAAAATCCTGGTAAAAGAAGTTTTTTTTCTTCAGTTGAAGATGAACTTGACGACTGATCAATTGCTTTGATACGTTCATATTCTACAGAATCCAGTGAGGCCCAATTTTCTAATAAAGATAGATATCTATGAAAAAAGTCAATAAATATGCATAGTAAGCAATTAAATGTTTTAAAATATGAACACTCTTTTTGAAGATAAAGTATACAACTTGATATTAAACACAGGGATAGTGGATCAACAACACGAAAGAACAAGATCAAAAGTACAATACAATCAGTCAGTTATAGTTAACGTTGGTTCAACTTGACATACCATTTTAGAAAAACAAGATTAAATACAGTGATTAGCAAGTGTATTTAAATAATGAGTAAGACTAAATGTTGAGAATATGGTTCAAAAATCCAGAATTAAATGCATGATGGAGTAATGGAACTCAAAATTAAGGGAGAACAAAACGTAAATAAATTTGGGACACTGCAATCTATTTTGCGTAATGCCACTCAATAGCTGCAATCAATGA